AAAGGCAAACTGAGTAAATTGAGAGAACTCTCTGCCAATATTAAGATTTTAGCGTGCATGCACTTAGTGCAGGATCAATGGTGGGGCATAAACTTTGGTATCATTCGCTTAGTGGGGTATCCCCACCAAATAGTCCTGCACTGTGCACCAAGTCCACCAAACCCTGAGTTGCACAGCAGAGTCGCTCTTCTTTCCCCTCAAATGAAAATGGAGAAAAGGAGCAAAACACTGAGAATCCAGACGTTTTCTTTACATGCTCCTCTCTCCCTCCAGCTTCCACGTTCTCAGCACACACATACACATGACTGTCTGTACATGTCACCTAGTTACCTCAGCGTCAGCTGCTCCCTGATACATGCGGACATCAAACTGAACAACAAACCCCTTCATCAGGCGTGAGGAACCTGAGAGGGGGCAGCTTTGGTGATAAGACTGCTCTGAGGAGGACCCAGATCCAGACTCCATCTGAGATGTGTGTCAAAGAGCAGCATCAAGCCCACAGTCCATGTTTGACAGGGAGGAAGCAGCGAGGCTCAGATGTGTGGAAAGGGCTGTGCTCCAAGTGCGGGTAACAGTGTGAAGCTGTGAGGAGCCTGGAGCGTTGACTCCGAGCCTCACCAAGCAAACACACTGACCTACACGTGGACCCATACCAGGACCCAGATCCGCAGCTGAACCTCGTGTTTTAAAGCATTCATCTATTTGGTTTATCATCAAAGAATATGAGGTATATGATGAACTATCTCTCTTTTACATCCAGGAGGATAAAGAAATCATTGTAAAATCAACATACAGAAAAGTGGAAACAAAACAAGATACATAATAAAAAAAAAAAAGCAGAAGAAACCTGTACAGAAGAAGAAGTGAGAGGGTAATGTGAGACTTTGCCTCCTTCTGTTGTCTCTGTCATGAATAAAAAACACTTCATATTTTTGTCGGTGTTGATATTCCTCTTCTGGGTTTTTGGTGTAAAAGTAAAGCTTTTAATTTGCTCCCCTCTTTGGAGAGCATACAAAAAAAAGAGAAGCAGCTCTGTGACACAGGTTTCACCCCAAAGATGAGACAGGCAAACTGCTCTCATGTTTACTCATCAGAATGTGAGCATCAAGGAGGTCAAAGAGAGAGTGTAAGTTAGGGAAATCTAAAATGTCAACTTTGATGTGCCAAAAAGCTCATCGGGTGTTTTGCCAACAGTGCTGCTGCTTTAAATTTCCAACCAACATTTGTAGACACACCAGGTAAAGATCTGTAAAAAGCCTTAAGATCATTTTTCTGAGGTTATGTCTCTGTGGGACCATTAAACTGTTGTTTTGTGTTGAGTTTGGGCCTCATTATCCAGCTGAAGGACCATATTTAGTTATATGGCCAATGATATCAGATTTCGTTATATATGTATCCCTTGTTTCATACCAAACCTGGTGTTTGAATGATTTTGATTAAGATTCTTTCAGCCTTTTAACATTTTAATATGCATTAAAACTGTTTATTAATTGCCCTGACTGGTGATGTGGGCAATGTTAGGGGTTTTCTTGATGCTACTTTTATGACTCATGAAGAATAACCCACCTTCCTTAACCAAATGGCGCATCCCCTTGTGTTTCTAATTTTTAAAAGAGGTGGCCTAAAGAAATGGCTTCTGTGAACAACCTAAAAATCAAGCAACTCGTGATAAAATGATTTAAATATGTGGATTTTTAAAGGGATTGTCCACATTTTTTCCAACAATAATATTTTTAAAAAGCCATACGTTTTAACATTTGGTGTTTTCCTCATCTAACATTTGTGTTCAAATGAATGATTATTATTACAGTAAAATATTAAACTAGTTTAAGGCTTTTTACATACTTTTACGGTGGTTACACTGTTGGACTAAAAGGATTTTAAAAAGCATTTTTGGTATTAGTAGGTTGAAAAAAATGAATTTAGAGTGGGGTGTAAAATAAGAAAATCCTTTACAAACCCATCACATGATCAGAAAAGCACCTCTAGAAATAAATTAACAAATAAATAGAATTACAAGCAATAAATCAACCCTGAATAAATAGTACAATCAAAAGTCTAAGTCATGATTGGAAAAAAAGTCCAAATAAAAGTTAAAGAGAGATAGTTAAAATTTTTGGTCTAAAATCAAGTTATCATCAATGTTTTAAGGATCTTTTGTTCTCAAAGTCTTTTTTTTGTGTTTTTTTGTTTTTTAGTTTTCAATACATCAGCAATAAGTAAGCAGTAGAACATAGATCTTTTTTCTACAAAATCTATAGAAGCACTAACAGATACATTCCGTCTAAGAATCAACGTGGAGGAAAGGTCTCACCTTTAAGGTGTAAACCCTCCCCTCCACATCTAAAGCTTGGTTCGTGAAACGATTCTCGTGTGTCGACTGTTTGGCCCGGCGAGGATTAAACCAAATATTCTTTGGATAGAGTCCAACTCCTAACATGTCAACTAAACCGAGGCCTAAGCTGCGAGTACAGCTCTGCATCTTAAAGTGTAGTTCAGATTAACATCTTTGGGCTCAAAAATAACAAGACATCACTGCAGACCTGATTCTTCATTTTTAAGCCTCCAACTGACACTTATAAGCTGAAGACGCCTCTGAAAAACTGACCCGTTTTCTTTGTCCTCGTGCACAATTTGGTTTGCTTCAGTATTTGGTTTGACAAGTTTAAGGTATGCTGCTCAATTTGGCCTTTGTGTTTATTTTTCTCCCCGCCAGGGCAGGCTAATAAAAATCTGGAAGCAAAATTTTCGCAGTATTTTTTTTTTTTTCATTTACCACTTGATAAAAATCTCTAGCACAACTACGAAAAAAATAAGGAGCTCTTGTAGTAAGTAAGTAAGTAAGTTAGCGAGTACGTTATTCCAAATAAGTAATTAGCACTAAAATACAGTACATGAAACGGCATCAAGAGACACAGCAGAGAGGGAAAAAAAAGAAAAAAACCCAATCAGAACCAAAATAGAACATTTTTCAAATCAAAACAGGTTTCAGTTCAGTGAGGTCATTTGCGTTTAGCTCCATCCAGGACCAGAGAGCTGAGCTGGAGAGAGGGAGGCAGAGGAAGGGAGGCCATCTTTTCTTCTTCTCATCCATCAGCCTGTCTGTTTATCCGTCCATCAGTGCTACACAGTTTCAGGGACAGGCAGATACCTGCTGGTCCTCCTCCCCTCCTCCCTCCAGCCACATTTGGTTCGGGTTATATTTGGTTTGCTTCAGTCATTCCTTGGGTAGTGAGAGTTCTTCTTTTTGGTTTGATTTGTTTTTGGTATCCTCTTAAAAAAAAAAAAAAGCAACAAACAAACAGTGTGACTACCCTTTGTTGTGTGGGTGGGGTTCAGAGTAAAAGATCAGCCCCTTAATAAAGCTTTTAGGTTGGAGGGGATTTCACCTGGGGAGGGCCTTGCAGTGGCAGCATCCTGTTCTTAGCCCCTTCCCCCAAAAAACACCCCCACGGGTGCGTCTTTATTGTGTTTACGTCTCGGCTGAGGCCCCGAGAAGAATATAATGCTTTGGTATCTATTTGAGGATTAATGAAAGGTGTGAGGTGGAAAATGACATGTGAAATGTGACTGATGAAGCGATGATGGAAGCAGACATATACATCGAGACGTACAGATGTCAGGCGAGCTGTGCTGATTGACGAGGCAGGGACGAGAGCAAGCTGTGACTAAACTTGGCTTTATTGACTTATTTAGCCCTCAACGGTTATTCCTTCAAATCTCCCATCAAAGGCCCCATTTCATACCTTCAACATCATTTTCAGCGTGCAAAGTTTGGGCATGTTTGTTTAGACACGGACTGTCCTAATAACAGGCTCAACAAGTACCGAACACGTCAAATGTTTTTCTCGGTAAATAATATTTTTAATGGTGCTATTGAGATGAAATTCACATCAGGTGTCTGTATCAATCCAAGTAATCCAAAGATACAAAGAAAAATCTGTAATAAAGTTATGTGTAATAAAGTGGAATGACACGAGTATTGAACACGTAAAGGAAAGATGCTGGGAATGGGCATAACAGCTGAAAATAGCTGAATCTGATGAGTATTAAAAAGCAATCATGGCCTCTGTAAGCCTAAATTAGTATTGGCTTGTTTAGTCCTACCTGATGGTCGATTAAAAGTTTTACAATTTTAAGTGTTCTTCACAAAAAGCTTGCAAAGTTGACAGCGAAGAGTTTTCTGAAGACCTTCATAGCCTGATCGCTGCAAGAACACACATGCTGATAGGGTCAAATATAATCTGTAGGTGGAAGGAACATTGTTTTCTCCTCCACCTGTGATCGATGAGTTAAAAGAACCAGCTAAAAAGTAAACCTGAAATTAGACTCCCAAACACGATGGCCTCTAATAGGACAAGGTATAAGATTTATTCCATGAAAAGGCAGTAAAATGACACTACCACCTATGTAAATGAAAAGTAAAGGAAATCCTATAGCTGTGGTTATTTTAGTTCCCGATTCTTCTGAATGCATCCCTGACTTACTTCCTATGAACCCATTTGTAGAGCTCTGAGGTTTTAAGGTGACTCAATCCTTGAATCAGGTCAGATTAGATCAGAGATGCTCCCAGAACACTGAAGAAGATTTAACAACCAGTTATGTGAAAGAAGTTGCAAACACCACATGGGGATGCAAGTAGTTTCTCCACACTGTAAATGTTTTAAAAGTCTAAGTTCTTTTAGATAAAATTTAAAATCCCTTTTGTTTAGACTGACTTATTCTATACTTAAATTCATGCTTTTATTTCTCTTTCATTTTATTGCTCATTTCATGTAAAGCACTTTGAATTTTGCTACATAAATAACTATATATATATATATATATATATATATATATATATATATATATATATATATATACACACACATATATATACATATATATACACACACATATATATATATATATATATATATATATATATATATATATATATATATATAAAAATAAATAATTCAGCTATCTCTGATGTTCAATACCATGTTAATAATTCCAGCTTTTTTTTTTTTTTTTTACATACAACTTAATTTACAGATTTATTAACAAGATTTCTTTGCATGTCTGGATTATTTGGTGTTTTACATCATTAATCCCTTATCTTTCACAGTTAGGGGCAGGCAGTCTTAATAAGCGCTTAAAAAAACTTTCAGCCAGTTCCTATAGAAGGGATTCACTCCCAGAAATTAAAGCAAAGTGAACTCGACTCGATCTGCGAGCCAGTGGCACTTGGTGAGGACTGGATCACTTTCGCCATCTGTCCCTCTGCACGGATAGTAGCGTTACAAACAGAATACGTAGCAATGGTGATGACAAGGACAAAGGTGATGGCAATGATAATGATGAGCTAAAACTACAATAGCACACAACAATAAATAGGAGCTGAAATGTGTAACAGCACTAATAAATAGTAAAAAAAAAAAAAAAAACTAAACTTCTTTAAAAAATACTGTTAAAAAGTAATCTAAGAGAAAAGAATGCATTCTTATGCTCATCCAGCTGACACAAATACACATCATACACAAAACTACCGCTATTTTACAAAATTATTGAAAAAACAAAACAGTGAGAGACACATGAGGTGACAGACGGAATGAGTCAGTGACAGGATGGGCTGGTTCTTCATGTTTAATATGCTTGTGTTTGCTTGTTGCAGTAGCAGTAGAGTCCTGGTCCTGGATAGCTTCAGTATTTACACGTCCTTTGAATAAAGCTTTTCTCTCCGTATTTTTGGTATTTGTGATTTTGGTTTGGTTGTCGTTGTTTTTTTTTTTTTTGGTTTTATATTTTTTGTCTCATTGTGTATTCCTCCACCTCCTTCTCAGGTAAAATTTTTGGTTTAAACGTATCCTCCTCCTCCTCCTATTACCCCTCTTCTTCTTTTAAACCCGCAGCTTTTAGGAAAATGACATTTAAAAAAGGATAGTTCTCCTCTTTGTTTCTTTGTCCGTGCTGCCATTTCTTTTTGTCATATAGTCAAAGTAATCTTTTTGTCATTTTTGGTTTATGCACTTGGACAGGCCGTCTCCTCCACTGCTTTTTGCAGAGTCATGGTTTGTTTTCCTTCAGAGAGACGTAGCATGTCGTGCGTTATTAGAGGAAAATGTCCGTTGCTATCTCCTTTTCATCCGTTAAAAGATACATAAAGATTTTTGGTTTCATTCTTTCTCCTCCTTTTCCCTTCTCTTAGTTCTTTCCCTCCTCCTCTCCGCTTTCATTCTGTGTATTTTTGGCATAGAAAGACTTGGAGAGAAAGACAGAAAGAGACTTTGGGAAAAAAATAAACAGAAAAACGGAAGAAGAGCACAAGAGAGAGAAAAAGATAGCTTTGGTGTGGAAGGCGAGGTTCTTGTTTAATCCCTTCTGCTCCTCTCTGACTGACCCACCAGATGCCGTCACTCGATCTTGGGCCCCCCCAGGGAGGACGGGCTGTGTGCCATTTCGCTGGAGGAGCAGAAGGAGGCAGGGCTGGAGCAAGGAGAGGGAGAGCAGGGCGTAGGGCTGATGCTGCTGGCTGAGGGGAAGGGCGAGGCCTGGGAGACTTTGGCTACAGCGGCGCTGACCAGCCCAGCGCCCGGGTTCTGACCCATGTGGAGGAGGGTGGGGTGGTTAAGGAAGAGGGATGAGGGAAGCCCACTTCCTTGACCCCCAGAGGTCCCCAGCATCACCTTGCTGCCACCCTCAAGAGTGGAAAGAGGCAGCTGGCCACCACTGGCTGCTAGGGCTGGAGAAAGAAAGGAAGAGAAAATTAGCCTTTATTCATGGCATCTTTTGCTCGAGCATTTATAATAATTTCATCATGATCCATATGATCCTGCAGTGAATCGCTGTAAGATCACCAAATGTTTATCCAATCAATAAAAGCCCAAGTTGTGTTCTTCTATTCTTCTTTAAATCTTTGTCACTTTTAGTCATGTATGTCTACTGAGTAACTTACAGTAAAGCAACATAAACCTGAAGAATATTGATAAATTTATAAATCAATATGCAAATAAATATAGTGTGAAATAAATAAATACATGTTTTAATTAATTTATCTTTTATAAATAAAAGTATTTAATGCAGCATTTAATTCTTCATTTCCTACTTTATTAAATATTTAAAAAAAACAATAATGTGTTTGTGAATTTACCAATCTACATTACATGTATAATTTATCATTACATAATGTAATGTAAACATAATATTTTAATTCTTTTTTACATAATGTAATTAAGTAATGTAAATAATGTAATTTACAATTACATTAACCTATTAACTTTAAGAAAGATTCACTTTTAAAGATATTTATCTAACTTTGTATCATATGGGGACAAAGTTAGAGAAAATTACATTCAATTATGGTGTCTTTTAAAAAAAATTAAATATGGTTTTATATTTTCTTTAATATCAAACTATCTTAGCTGTGTTATCTTTATGGCAAAGACCAAGGTTTTGAACATTAAAAATAAGTTTAAAAGGATCGAACGTCATTCCGTGCAGCTCTGTCTTTCATGCCGCTAGCTGTATCATACCAATGCTTTGATTCTTCTTGTATGTACAGTTATTCATGGTGGGAAGGAGATAAATATCTAAGAAAGTGATTCATCTGACATATTTTAGCATATGGCCCCCGAGATGACTCACTGACATGATTTTTTCCCCCCATGCAATGAAAATACCAGAACTCTCTGACAAGAGAGAGTGAAGACCTGCTCCGATGATACAGGGGAATCACCATGTAGTTTGTACATTCTGTGACAAACTAAAGAATAAACTAAGTTCATCTGCCAAAATTGTTTCTGTTTTTAAATTATAAAAACAATAAGAAATGTGTATATTACTTCGTTCCTGTTCAGTTACTTCCACTTAGATTACTTTGCTGTTTAGCAATTTTGCAAAGCACAGATAATGACACGTCTGTAAAAATAAACGCCCTTTGTTAAATTTGGAGGAAAGAAATGAATCTTGCAAACTTAACTTTAACTTTGAACCGTCGTAGGGAAAGATCATTTTATGAAAATATTGAAGCAGCATTTCAACACAACAACCAGGAAGTTAAAGACTGACTGAATATATAATTGAAATATAAGAAGCATAAAGTCGAACTCTCATCTCCGTTATGAAGTACTGTCAGAAGAAATGGGCCAAAATTACAGAAAAATAGTGTAAAAAGCTTGTGGAAGAAGAAATAAAACGTCTGAGTCTAAGAAAGAACGATTCAGACTTCTACATTTAAAAGAATAAAAATAAACCAATACTTTTTTTTTTCCTAATTTGTTACCCTGCCAGTAAGAAAACAGTAATATATGTGGTTATCCAAACTAACCCAAAACAGGAAACAGCTTCATTGAATACCAGACAGCAAGAGTAGACACATGAAGCATGTGATAACAAGTTCTAGTCAAGATTTGAGTGATTGTTCATCAAAATTAAGCTCTGAAACGTTATAATTCATACTTTATTAAGAACATTAAAAACAACATATTGATCTCTAGATAGTTACTCTAATGTTTCACAATCTTAAATCGACACCGCCTACGGCTGCACGCTTTATTGGCTTTTAAAAACAGATTGTTCTCTCACTCAAAGAGTCAAAATGTCCTATTTACTGATAAAAAAACAGATGAAAGGCTAAAGAAAGTTAAAAAGATGACAAGCAGCAACAGCAGCCCTCACATGAGCGTAAGCACAGTCACAGAGACGCACACACACTTGCTGGGATGGATTAATGGTTGTAGATGGCGACATTTGATCAAAAATAAGTTATTTATTTCCCACTGAGCGCGCTCTCTGTGTCAGCTGTTTCACACTGTTGATGAGCAAACACACTCGGGTGCCTATTCATCCGTGTCTCCAGTCGGTAGTCAACCAGAGCGACTTGATTCTCCCTCTGTGTGTAACCGTATTAGTCATCATCGCACTTCTTCTTTTAATGCATCCCCCCCTTCTTAATTCTGTCTCTAAGCCCACAGCGGCTGATTAAACAGCTTCTATGTCAAACTGACGCTGGTTGAGAGTCCTGCTGCTGAGGCTGTCATGTTCATGTGTCATGTTCTATAAGTGCATGTGCGTTTTGAGGTCCACATCTGTGTGGGAGTGCATAAGACTGTAACTGCTTAAGAGGAGGAAAATCTGACAATGTGTTTATTTACAATGCCTTGCTGAAGCATTCATACCTCTCAAACTTTCCTACATCTTCTTATAATACAACTACAGCCTTCAAATAGTTTTAGACAAACGCTGGAACAAAAATTTTACATTTAACTTAATTCACTTAATTTAACTATTTGTTTGAACTAAACCTCAAAATGTATACAGGCCTGGAATTTGGCTTAAAATCTAGCATTTTTAGTTTCAAGTTTTCATTTTTTTTTTAATATATTTCAGTAGAATTAAATAGAAATAAATTTGCAATGTCTGCTTCTTTGACTGTTTACATAAGGACATGTAAATAAAAAAAATATGTTTTTTTTTTCTCACCGGTTTCTTCAGGAAAAATTCCACTACCAAAAACTTGCTCAGCCTGCATTGCTCAACAGTAAGAGCCCCTAAGGAATCTGATAGATTCAAGTAGATTCCTGTGTTGAAATGGCCTAATCAAATCCCAAACATAAATTCAAATGAGAACCTTAAGCAAGACTTAATAATAGATGTTCCCATGCTTTATAAATATATATCAAGCTATTTTGCAGAAAAAAAAATAAGCCAAAGTTTTTGTTTTTTTTTAAGTCCAAAGGCAGAAGAGGAACTCCAAATGTGTTGCAGCTAGAGCTGGTTTGTAAAAAGCACTGACCTCAGTGGAGTTTGTGGTTGTAACATCAAAAATAGGTGTTCGATATCCCATGCTGAACATTTTACAGAGTACTCAGTCCGTCACGTAATAACAGATAGAGTACAGCTTCCCTGCAAACCCACCAACACCTGGCTGCCCACCGAAACTGACAGGCAGGGCAAGGAGAGCTTTAATCCCTCGATAATTCTAGAGAAGCTGCAGAGATCTTACGCTTAAATGGAAGAGCGTGTTGATAGGAAGCCTATTAGTCATGCACTTTACATATTCATTAGGGGGAGAGCGTCAAAAAGAGAGTCTAATGAAAGACGTCTGTAAAAATTCACAAAAGCCAAGACCCTGCTGATCAGATGAGTTCAAATATTAGCAGAGCTAAACAGTAGTGGCTTTGGCTGAAGTGGCTCAGTTAAAGCCTTGAGAAGGAGGCTAGAATATCGCTTCTTATGAACAGTCCCCATCAAGCCTGACAGAGCTTAAGTTTCTGTTGCAAAAAAAAAATCAAAATACTATTTTAATCTCTAAAGGTATAAAACTGACGGATATTTACCCCAAAATGTGAATGTACAAAGTAGACAACTTTGTGTTGTTCTAAGAAATTAAATCTCAATGAAGTGCATGAAACTTTTTGTTCGTACCATGACAAACACCATATACTAAGTTTGAATATATTTCTTAAAGCACTATATAGACTTTTAAATGAGATTTCTTATATAGTGCTTAAAAATCCTATTCTTCTTAAATATGAATGTTTATTTCGACAGTTCATCTTTTATTTTAAACTCCCCTTTTAGTTGTTTCCTCTCTTACAAACACACACCTTGGATAGTAGCGAGGGGATTGTTACCGAGGAGGGCTTGGTTCATCCCCGTGTTAACTCCCATCACAGTGTTCCTGATGCGGCACGCGCATGTGCAAGCATGTTTACAAACACAGACGGGCAGAGGAAAAAAGGTGAGGGGGGAAAAAAAGCAGATTTAGTAGCAAGGAAAGACAAAGGATAAACTAATCCAGACAGCTGTATGAAACAAGGCTTAGAAATGCAAGAAGGAAAGGGTTCATACCTCTGGAGAACATTACAGTTTAAGCACAGATAATACACACACACAGCTGAAGTATTCAAACTTGCTCATAATATGCATGTAATATGTTCAGCGTTCTTACCTCAAATTTGCAGCAAAGTCAGTGATGTAGTTGGACATTTCACCGTTCTTTTTACCCATACGCCACAAGCTGTCAACCCAACACACAGAAACACACGGTTAGATTGTGTAACTGCGAAGAGGAAGTTGAGGTGTGAAGTGGCATGCTGGAATATCTGTGTGTGTACATTTTGTAGTGGGTATGGAAAAATTAAATACAAACTGCAGGTGAACTGATCATAGAGCTGTGCAGTAAAAATAGGGATTACTATTATGAAAATGTGGCTTTGTGATGCAGCAGTGTTGGTTTAATGTCCCTGTTGTAATAACTGGTTACTGGGAAGTTTGCAAAAGGAAACAACCTTAAACAATACATTAAAAAATATAGTTTTTTTTGTTATAAAATATGAGATGAATGCATCTTATACACTGAGTTACACTTGATATTTGGTTCTATGAAAGTTGGTAAAAAAAAAAAAATTATTCAGAATTAGAAATATTTTCTACGGAAACTGCTGACGCATGCTATTTGACCTTTTTCGAACTTTGATATTAAACAAAAAAAAAAAGGCAAAAAACCTATAGTTGCCTCTTTACTGATAGACATGAGGAATTTTGCAATATAACTGAGCTGCTCCTTAAATCTATTACATCACAGCAAGTTAAGCTGCAGCTCAGGGCTCCAGGCCAGCAGGGGACCCCAAAGAGCCTCTGCACTTCTTATTAAAAATATAAATGTCAAAACTAGAATGTTTATTTCAATGTTCAGACCACTAGATGTTTATTTTTTATGTATTGTATGATTATTCTATTCAAAGATAAATTAATCAATTATTTAATCAATTAAACTGTCATTCTGCTGCCATAAACACTGGTAGGTGACATGATAAACATTCTTCTTTTAGGCCCCAAAAAAGAAGCAGAAGGTTTGCTGTGCGTCCTGTGACGGGCCCCGCGCCTCTTACCCTGTGTTTAGGTTGAGTGTGTTGTGGCTGGGAGTGGCGGGGCTGGCTGTGCTGCGGGGAGGAGGAGGAGGAGTCGCTGGGGAGGGTGTGGAGCTCAGAGGGGGGTGGACTGAGGTGAGAGAGGGGTGGGTTGAGGTGAGGCTGGAACTCAGAGGGCAAATTGAGGACATGGTGGTCACCGTTGTGCTGAGGCTGGTCACGGCCTGCGACAGCTGGCTCGACATCTGCCAGAGAATGAAAGGACATTGAGAAGATGCTTCGAGGCTGTGGGAGAAGTGGCAAACAGAATGACCTTGGTCTGATATTCACCATATGAGGGCTGTAGCAGGGCGGTTTGTGCGTTTGAGGGGCAGTGGGTGGCTGGCTGGGCAGCGGAGGGGTGGCACTGGTGGGGTTGATGCGCTTCTCTTTCTGCCGGCGGTTGCAGAACCAGACTCGGATCACCTCCTTCTCCATGTTGAGCTGCTCAGCAATCAGCAGGATCTCCTCTGAGGTAGGCTTCTGGTTCTGTAGGGGGAAAAAAGTCCAGTTTCTTTTAGCTGTGCTAGATACAGTAAGCTTGGACTGTACATAAAAAAATATCACTACTTTACAGGCATTTTGAAAGAGGAATGAATAAAATACAAATAAGAAATAAAATAACTTTTCATTCTCATGTTAGTGGAGCACCAGTTTACTACTTTTACATTTCCCAATAAATGCTTTGGATGTTGTTAATGATGGTGGTTTATAGTCAGCATGAAGCAAGATTCTTTGACAATAAAAGCTAAAGATACCTGAGCACACATTGAAAAAGTATCTGAGAAGAAAGACGTATGATCAGAACCTCAAATGTAGGGTGGATTTTGTTTTGCATGTTTGATAAAAAGATCTAAAGTTTCTAGATATGGTGTTTGACCTTAATCCGAGCAGCTCAATAAGATGATTTGGCAATGGAATCAGTATGTTTGCATTTAAAATAAGATCATTAGATATTATGCACTTGAAATATGACAACGCAGTTGTTTTTTCCCTTATTTTAAAAGCAAATTATCTTATTCCATTGGAAAAAGTGTCTCACATATGTGCTCAATTAAAAAAAATGTACAAAATTAATTAGATTTCCTTTTTTGCAGTGTAGGCAGTGTAGGTATATCTATCTATATAGCTTCAAATTAAGATAATAGGAAGAATAAAATAAATAAAAAACCTTAAACTGGCTAATGAAGAATTAAATATCATGTAAGGAGTTCAGGTATTTGCCTAAAAAAACTGAATCGATTATGAATAATAATGAAATATCTCACCGTCAGGAATGAACGCTCCAGGGCCACACGAACATTTGTCTCAATGCTGGTTCTCTTCTTTCTCCTGCGACCAGGAACCCCCTCAAAGCCCAGAGACGGAGAGGACAGGGAGCTGGGACTGGGCAGGGTGCTGTCTATGGACATGGTCTCTGTAGGAAAAAATCCAAACCTTATATCCCAGCTTCATTTGAACCAATCCTCAGTCAGATGGAGCGAACGTCTCACTTTAAATGCAATTTTAGAGCCCACCTGCATCATTGAGCCACTTCTCCAACAGTGGCTTCAGCTTGCACATGTTCTTAAAGCTAAGGTTAAGCGCCTCAAAGCGAGAAATGGTGGTTTGGCTGAAGTCATTCCCATACAGCTTCCCCATGGCTAGGCCTACGTCCCCCTGTGGAAAAGGTTCAACAAAAACTGTTTAACACGAGTTAAAACAAATAAAGACACTTTACTGCCGACGCAAGTTTGGCTTCTGTTCACCTGTGTGAACCCCAGCTTGATGCGTCTCTGTTTGAAGGTGCGGGCAAACTGTTCCAGCTCCTCCAGGTCGCTGGGCTCCTCAGGGTGAGAGGTCACAGAGGACACTGTGGTCATGCCTCCTCCAACAGCCACATCTATGCTCTTATCTCGCTGCACCTGACAGGACATGAGGAAAATAAAAGTGAAAATGAGAAAGGAAGGGGAGAGTTTTTTTTGTTTTGTTTTCACAGTGCTTATTTAGGGAGTGGGGTTATATTTTACGCTGGGGAAAAAGTTTCCTACCTGTGACTGGAGTCCCATTCTAGTTGGAGCAGACAGGAGGCTCCCTTGGTTTTGCTGAGGTAGCGGAATAAGATTTGGTGTCGATAGGAGTCCTGATCAAAAAGAACGTACAATAAATTGTTAATAAATAAATAAAAAATGGGGAAATCTTTCAGATTAAAAGCAGAAACTTAAATTTAATTTATCAAGTTTTTAATCTTCTGGTAAAATAATCTGAAAACTGAAACTTGGTTTTTAATTCTTTTTTTTAAAGGCCTTTTTTTTTGTAAAAATCAAACTTGCTGGGAAGTAAGGACTTGTGAAAAAAAAAATTGAAATCCTGACACACTGAGAAAACGTTTAACAAGCACGTTATTTTAGGAGGCACTGCATATATCAGAAGATTTAGACTCCCCACCTTGCTGGCCCTGCTGTGCCTGTGGGAGAAGAAACTGGGCCGGAGATGGAAGTGGGTGACCAGGCACCAACACCAGCTGCTGAAGCTGCAGCAACTGCTGAATGTCCTGTTCAACAGAGAACCAAATACATATAAAAATGCAGAAAATTATTCTTATTTGCAAACAAACAGAAATGTTATGTTTCCATGAACGAGAAGGAGTAGCTCTGGGTGAACAGAAAACATAGGATGCAGGGGAAACTGCTTCAAACACACAAGTGGTTCCATTGAAAGTCTCCACCACACTTGGACTGGTGGATAGTACCTGGGCTGTGAGCTGGATAGGCTGAGAGAGTGTGAGCTGAGGCGGAGGGAGAGGGACACTTTGGTTTTGCTCTTGTGTGCTCTGTCCCTGGGACTGAGCCTGCTGCCCTGTCTGTCCTGTGTGCTGCTGCTGCTGCTGTTGTTGCTGCTGCTGCTGCTGTTGCTGCTGGGCTTGCTGATTTGCTGCTGCAGCTGCCTGAGCTTGCTGATTGGCCTGCGCTGCGGCATGAGCAGCATGAGCTGCATGGGCGGCATTGGACTGTTGCACAGCGGCAGCCAGGAGTTGTGCCTGAGCCTGCTGCAGCAGCAGCTGTTGCTGCGCCGGCAACAAAGCTGTCAGCTGGAGGAAAACAAAAAAGGAAGGCAGGAAGAGAGGAACAAGGAGCAAGGAGTTAGGCTAAAGAAGAGAAAAGTGTTTAAAAAGCAGAAAAGGGGAAGCAAGCAACACAAAAGCATGGCAGAGTGAATATCTGCATATTGGTCAGTCTTACCCCTGCTAGCTGCGAGCCAGTCAGCATGAGCTGAGTGTGTTGCAGGGCTGTCTGTGAAGGAGTCTGACCGTGAGAGGGAGGAAGGCCTGGAGACATTTCTGAGCACTCATCCATCTTATTCTGGTATGAGGACAAAGAGCATATAAGGACACATGTAGAAGAAAAAATAGTGCAGAAAAAGTGTTTTATCAAGCTAATGATGCCGATTCAGACAGAGATGAGAGATGTGGAGTCAACAAGTAAATTCCTTGCCAAGTACTGGTTCTGCCAAGCTACTGAACCGGGCGAGCTCAATCTGCACAGTGAATTAAATGGTTGTTGACGCCACATCCCCCATCTCTGGATTAATGAATCATAAGTGATGTGTCAGTAATGGAGGAATTATGTAAACATTGCTAAAATTTGTCTCTAATCGATGTTTAATCTGCACAAAGAGATGATCTTTTTCTCCAAGGACAAGGCATGTTTGGACTGGAAGCCTGAGCTTCCAGGGTTTTATTTGCATATCAGCGTTGACATGAAAATGAAGATTCATTACTTGGTAACATGAGTAATGTTGTATATTTACTTTGGTTATCATTGGGATTAGTGACAGCAGAGAGGCCTTAACGCTTTCCTCTTTGGTGCATTTATTTACAGTGAAGACTGGGTGGAGGGCGGACATATTGTCAACCTGACGCAACAAAAGAGGAATTCAAAGCTCAGAATTAAGCACAAAGCTAAAGCAGCCATGCTGTCAATAAGTCTACAGCGTGACGTTAGGATACAAAAGATGCACAAACACTGAAGCAGAGTTGCGCAGAGACATGCACAGGCAGCTCTGTAACTGACAATAGTTCACTCACCTTGCTGCTGTTCAGGTTTGGGGAGAGAGGAAAGGGACTGACTTTCATTGCCTGAACCTTTAAGAATAAAAATAATCAACCACAAAATTACACAAAGTACCCATTTTTTATTACTTCATGTGTCTAATACTGAAATGTATGTTTTTTTCTGACTGAACAAGCATCTTCTTTTGGGATCTTTATTTATATATTTAACACCAGATAACATGCAGACTTTACAGAATAAACAACTTTAGCTTTTATTTATGAGTAACCAATCTTTTTCTGTTCAAATCATTTAAATGCAAGATAATCCCAAACTTTAAACCTATATAATCTGGTTTATTTGTTCTCATTTATTCAGTATGAAAAAAGACACTAAGAAATTGTTTTGTTTCTTTTTACCAAACTTCATATTTCACAATCATAAATGCAGTCCTATTAAATGAATGTAAATGAGAAATAAATTGATTTTTATTTTACTATTTAAAGTTGAAAATAACATGTTATTTGTAATCTGTGCCTTCTTATAATGCTGGGATATAAATATGCTTTGACAAAAGGAGACATTTCCCCGAAATAAAATATGAAAGTGATGAGGTGTTGATCTTTGTTTGTGTAGAAATGGTTTAAGTAGCTTTAAGTCTACAATAAGTGTCATCAGTCAGAGCAAAAACATTCAAAACACTACTTCACTGGAAAAACAACGCAGTAAGTCAGCTTAATTTTCAGTTCAATTTAGTTTATTTATATAGTGACTATTCGCAACACATGTCATCTCAAGGCATGTGTTGACTTAAGTTTATCTTCCCACCATGCACACTGAAAATGATGTCGAGGGAGGATGAAAAAGGTTTTCAACACTCAGCGTTGGAGTCGTGCAGCACAGAGCTGCATTTTGGTCTCCAAGTATCCAAAACAGCCATCAGACGCTGACTACATGTTTGCTGGATGTTTTGGATGGATAATATAAATATCTTATTCTATTTTTTTTCTGTATCCTACTATCACGAAAGCCCAATAGAATATTTCTACAACTCCTTTACATAAAATTACGCTATTTGAGTCTAATGAAAACCAAAATGAGAACAAGTGGGAAAGCACCTCATCCCCGCTATTACGTATGGTGAAGGATCTGTCATGCTGCGGGCATTTTTCCATTCCAAAGACACTAAGAACCTCTTTGGAGTGCATGGTTTCTCTGTTTCTTTGTAATTAAAAGCTCATTTTTAATAAAAATATAGTCGCCGTTGCCACCGAACTGAAAAATTGACAGGAAGGACAAGAATAAAAAGGGGCCAAAACAGACACAAAATCAACCTTTCTCTATGCCCATTTTAGTCCCCAGATTTAAATCCTTTAGAAAACATTTGGGGGAAAGTATAAGAAAGGACACAGAACTCTGCTAGATGAACAATGGCATCCAAAAAAACTCTCCTTTTGGTCTTGTTTACTTATGCAAGACAAACATTTAACCATTTTATACCAAAAATGATATAACTATTTTTTTTATTTTTTTTTTTTTTAGTACAAAAAAAGTGGAAAAAGTGTCACAACACGACACAAAAACTTTCCAAGGGTTTCAAATTGAGCAATGACCAGGCTTTGGGAACCCCTTGATAAAGAGAGTTTAGAAAAATATCACAGAAAGCTTTCAGATTGGCAAAAACTTCATGGTTTAAAGTCAAAAGCATCTGCTTCTTAATTATGTTTTTTCCTATGGAAAATAATAACAAAAAATCCTAGGTTTATTTTTCCTTATTTTTCAAAGCGAGTTCCTGCAGCTAAAATAAACGCAATGAATTCATTTTAAAGTTTTTTTTAACCAGGGATACAAAAATAAGACTAAATCTGATTGAGATAACTGCCTGACACTGCTATCTTATTTTGCAGATCAGTTTGTAGGTGAAGGAGGTGGAAGATGATTGTAACGATCTCAAGTCGAAGACCTACCTGGTGATTTGATTCAGGTCCATTCCGCTCTGACTCTGCGTAGGAGGCAAAGGAAAAAGTGATAAATCTCATCTTCAGCACAGCTCACACGGCAGTTTATACCAATACTTTCCAATGCCATGCATGTTACACATCTGTACTAAAGGAGTAATTATTTATCCAAAATAAGCAAAACAAATCCTACCTGTGCCTTCCATCGGTGAGTCAGCCCCGACTTTCTCAACCTCTGCTGGCTTTGACATCCTGATATCTGTGGCAGAAACGACAGAAGTCAAATGTGTCACGGAAGAAGTTCAAGAAGCAAAAGATGTAAGTGACCAGAATGTAGATGACAGTAGGGAAAGAGGAAGGCCAGGGCGGCGATCTCTGTTAGGTTGGGGTTGACTGTTTTTCAGGTCACAGAACAAACCTACACACTGTAAACTTAAACAATGAGGCTGAATCATTCAGAACTATATATACAACCCACATTCATTCACTCTTTCCAATTAGTGGTTAAACAGGAGTGGGTTCGACCTAAAGGTGTTTGCTCATTCTAAATATAACCCAAGGTGTTTTCGTGGGAGTATAGCAACCCTAAAATGTCTCATGTTGTTTGTCATTCATCACAAGACCGCATCACATTCTGGTTCTTTGTCTGGGACAGTCCCATTGGGCGACAGTCATGAATGAAACAGGTCCGCAAATTTAAGTCTTCGCCTCTTTTTTATCAGGACAAAAGTGGAATTTAGGCTCGGAGAAACAGAGATGGGAATGGTTTGAGAGGAGTTTACACAGAATACAAAGGTGTGTACGTTTCTATAGATGTACCACTGTGTGCAGTAATTTATGTTTGGTTATCAGCCTGTGGCATTATCTGCTACAAAAACCCTTTTATTTATCTGAAACCACAAACTGTAGGAAAAAAAAGACTTTTTGTTGTGTCCATTTGAAACTAATTCTCCCCCACTCCTGCACTGCCTTCCCTTAACATGAACACACACACACACCTACACACCGAGACACACAGTAACTTCCCTTTTGTGAAAACATGCAAATCTGCCCAACGACTAACTAATTATATCTGCCACCTGCATAATAAACTCTCAGTCTCCCTCCTTTTTTTTCTGTACCTCATTCCCTTCTTGTTCTGTTGCCTCTCGTTTCATCCTGATTTCATTTATTTCACTAAATACAAACTTGACTCAAATTTGTCTGAATGCTTCTAAAAAGTAAAAAAAAAAAAAAAAAAAAGCAAAAGTAAGCACACAAGCAGTATGTCCACCACTGGGTGGCGGTAGTGACACACTGCTTCGCTGACCACCACTGACCAAATGAAGCAGCTGCTGGTCAGATGCCGCCTCTTTAAATCCGCCTTCTCAGCAAATTGGGCTCCCATTTTCTTCTTTTTGAAATTCCATTTACAAGTAATGCACATAAAAATTATTTAAACTTTTAATTTTGCACTTTTAATAAAAGATAAAACATACAACTCTGCCTTCTTTTATGTTTCCCTGTGAAACCTATGTTTTACACAAAATATTTTAAATCTAGCTTGAGTCTTATTTCCTTTTTTGGTGCCTATAAACTGGCATGAAATATAACGGATCAAACCAAAATAACCGAGTGACTTCCTAGTGGTACATATCATTTATTAATAGAGTGATAACCACATTTCCTTACAGTTGAAAATATAAAAATATTAGCCAAAGCAGGTATCAATTGATGCATGGTCACTGCAAAGTTGATGTTTCCTTTTATAGCTGAACTTACAAGCAGGCCATTTGAAGACAACAAGGCCAAAATAAATGCAATCATTCTAGGCCTTAAAATGTTTTACAGTAGCTTAAAATTGCCTTTTTGTACACTAACGTCAGGGTATCCATCTATCCGTCCATTTTCTGGCACGTTTAATCCCATGTGGGGTCGCGAGGGGTGCTGGTGCCTATCTCCAGCTGTCTACGGGCGAGAGGCAGCGTACACCCTGGACAGGTCGCAAATCCATCGCAGGGGTGTCAGATTATCGCTTTGGAAAATAATCTTCTATTAAAGTAATAATTATTATCCTGTGATGAAGGTACCAACCCCAAATTCTCAGCTTTCCCTGCAAATCTGCTAAATATATTAAAGCCCTGAATATATAGGAAAATAATCTAAAACATTCTGATTCACAGTGAATTGTTGTGTCTTTACATTTCATTTTGGTCTCACTATTCAAATAAAGATCCTTGATTCTCTACTTTAAACATTTCTTCAATTACTTTTAGCATATAGTTAAATTATATTAACTAAAATAACAGTCATGTCATTTATTTTGTATTATAACGGCAGGGCTGCAAAAACACCAAAATATTTTAAGAACGGTATATTTAATTTAAGAGTAACAGTCCATTTGTCTTACTATGAAAATGTTCAATGTTATACCAGCTTTAATAATAAATAACATAGTAATAATAAGTAGGGTAAAAACTAGATGCAATCATACAGTTAACGAGTGTTTATGCAGTTGGAGAGGCTTATTTACACTTTCAGTAGGAAACTTTGCAGTACAATCCCAGAGAGACTTTATGGCCCAGTGGTAATGGTTTATTGCCTATGTATAGAGAAAGCATTCATGGTTCTCCTAATATGAGTTTGGTATGCTTGAGTTGTGGTGTTGTTTCAGAACCTTTTTATGACTTTAATAAACAATAAGGTTTTTATATTTTTTCATGATTCTTTTAGGAGTAGAATTGAATTAAAATAGTGTTAAAATCAAAAATGATCTCGGTGAAACCTACAGAAACCCGAAACAGCTGCTGTAAAAGGGGGAAAATCTTTAGAACAAAGGAAATAGTAGTGCCTCCAAGCAGCATGTCTGTCACAAAAACATGAAAAAAAGTGAAACCAGGCAGAAGATTTCATAATGTATTTCATTATGTTTGTATGCATAACATTTTTTTTAATCATAGCTTTAAAAAAGTGCAAACTTTAATGAAGTGCTGTATTAATCTTTTCTTTTTCATCTTTTTGTCTTTAAAATTGCACAGATTTAAGTTTTCTCATAACTCATTCATCTGAATAATTAAAAGTTGTTTTTTTTAGTATCACAGCTAGATTTTAAATTTAACCTTTTTTAAATTTTTCAGTTCAACATGAGATTATTTGGGGTTTGCGTAATGGACGTAATTTACTGCCTATGCAGATTTGATTTTGGGGCAACTGTAGGTAAAAATATGGGACCTGTATCAGGTCAAATTGAGTTTCCCACTTCTATACTAAATTTCCTTTTAAGCGCGGCTAGAAACTTTATTCTTTACCACACAGTGTATTCCATACAAGGAGTCTATAATAACCCCAGTTTCATCCAATGCACATCCATCTCCAGGAAAATCCCCAATAGGGCCTACGTAGGGCTGGTTCTGGAAGCACCCCTGTGACTCCCTGCAGAGGCGACACTTGTGTTTGAGTGAAACAGATGTGAGATCAGTCTACTTCAGTACACACATTAATGTCTTTGGGGGGATGGGGACTGAGGGGGAGTAGGTGACGATCTGCTTGAGAAGCTCTTCTTCCTACTGTACTGTTATGGCACACACTTGCATGCAAACCTACACAATGACTGCAGGATTTCCCTCAAAAAGTTGAACCTAATTTGGTTAGGAGACAAAAAGGAGGATGCTGGTTAGCCTATGTTGGGGTCTGTTTGTGGTTATTCCCACATTTCATACACCCCCCTATTTTGGAGATTTTGGTGGCTATTATTGAAACTAGAGAACTCTTCCACTGTTGCTTAATTTCTGCTGAAAACCACAGAATTTGCCACAAAATAGCACCTTCCTCTTATTTACAAAAAAATTCACCACAAAATTGGTAAGGAGACAAAAGCGTTACTTTAATGGCTGCTCGGGTCACGGCGCTTGGACTGTGAGGTTACAAAACAACAAAACACAGAATGAAATGATGCATGTTCTTTTTTGACCATGTGTGCAGGAGACAGGGACAAGGTGTGTGCTGATTCATGGCGTGAAAACGGCCTGCAGACAGTAACATGGTGGATAATGTGGTCAGTAATACGGTGGTGGGACAGTATATCAAGATGCTGTGTCTTTTTCTCACTTCCCCTCCCGACTTCCCCTTGCGCCGGGTTGAATGCTGAGTGCTAAACCCAACATTTACTGTCAGTGTGGCTATTAATATTAACCTGATCTCTCTCTCTCACTCTCTCTTTCACTCCATCTTAAAAAAAAAAAACTGCTTATCTTTCACAACATGCTGCTGTGCGTTCAAACACTCAACTTATTTTACCTATCACATTTAGCTTCTTTACAAGTTAAGGGTGTGAAGCTAATATTAGGAGCAAGAAGATGCACACTTCTAAAAAGGTTTTGCTTCTGAGCAAACATAATGAAAAGCAGCAAGGAGACACTTTCGTTCTTAGGCAACTGCAAGGATCAATAGTGTTGATCTGTGAGGCCAGCGGGCGAAACCAGCCACAACTTTATATCTTAAACAGATTAAATGTAATGCTGTATAATCCTGTGTCATGAATAAATGATGCAACAGAAAGGAACAAGGAACAAGCCGTCTGTGCAAAGTCTGGACCTTTCCCCTCTGGGTATATTTGGTATCAAAAAGTTATTTCTGATGCCAAAAAAAGTTGAAGACAATGCAGGGCATTCATGTGTAAATTATTGTTAGATTTTAATATAAAATGACAAGAGTTCATGAACCAATGAATGATAAAAAAATTTAAAAAATCATATAATAAGATGTTAAAGTAGGAATCTAACAGAGGTTGCTGGTTCCTCATTATCTCACTTGGAGCATTCTAACTGTAGGGATTTTTTTCAGTTCATAAATAAATTAACCAAACAAAAAAAATAAACTACTGCGTTTGTAATCAATTTTCATGTCTCCTTGTAGACAAATACCATATATTACACAATTTGTCTGCTATAAAAATGAAGTCTGGACAATAAATAAACACAATTTCATGTATTAATTTCAATTCAAATTTGAATCCATCAATTCTTTCAAGACAAAAAAAAAATCTGTTAATTTCTAATCTCAGTTGAAGAACCGTTTTACTTTCACCCTCAATTGTTACACTGATCCTTTAGTAGTATGCAAACCCATGCAAATTTACTGCACACTCATGTATCAAAGTTTTTGACATAACTTTCAAGATTTACCAGTTTATACCTTCGCTTTTTCTGCAATATTTTCCGCCGTGTTACAGTGAAACTCTTATTGCTTGCTTGCTTTCTGTGCGGGTGATGTGTCACCCCGACGATCGGAGTAATTTCTCCGAGGTCGTAGAGAGTGACCACATTGAGGTTAAAAAGCGACTCTGAGCGTTTCAAATCCATGAATCACCCTCTGATAAAAGGTTTATCTCATGAAAATGTGCAATATGTTTAACAAATTCAGTCTTGATGCGGGGCCCGGAGCAAACATGAGCTAATTGACATTTGAAAAATTGATTTCTGGTAATTGGTGAGTCAACCAACAGCCTTGATGTGCGTGCATGAGTGTGTGAGTGTGTGTGTGTGTGTTTAGCCGGTCAGCTCAGGCTGTGAGAAGTGACAGCCTGAGCTGACCACCTAAATGGGGCCATGAGGTGAGAAGAGCTGCAATTAATTCTGCTTTTCTTTAAACATTTTTCACTGCTGAGAAAAGGGAATATCTAAAGTGTTTCCCCTTTTGATATTCAATTTTTTTTTATATCTAAAGAGAAATTAAATATGGTCAAAGCAAAAGTCAGCCCTTCACAGCATGCACACCCACACAAAGTTTATACCACTTTAAAAGTTGCAAAACCGTTATCAGTGAAACATCAGTGAAGTAAAACCCTAATGCTACAGCACTTGACAAAAAAAAAAAAAAAATGTTACTGCTGGTGCAGCACATTTTTTTTTCCATTAAAGATTGTATTTTCCACAAGAATATTCAATATGTGATATTAATTTAAAGCATGCATGCACATGAACACTCAGAGGGAAAGTGAGGTGACCTTTCCCTGCATCCACTCCATGCTTTCACCTCTTATTCTTTGATGTTCTCTAATTAGTTGAGCTCGTTAGACCCAGTGACATTAATCAACAGCCTAGACATGACTCTTCCTCACACACACACTCACACACACACACGGTTCCCATTTCCTAATGCCTAATTGGTCTTGGCAAATGATGGGCAGCAATGACAGAGAGCTGCACAGACAGCCACTCACCTGGCAACCACATACTGGAGAAGTCCTTGGCCGCTATCGCCGCTGTCTTGGTCATATCTGTGTGAGAGCGTGCGTGCTTCCTAAAGAAAAACTCTCACTCACCCTCCCTGTGTCGAGTGTGTTAAATCATATGGTTGAATTACCCCTCCCTCCCAGGCCTGCCTCTCTATCTCTCTTTGAGTTTTTGCACTAGTCCACACCCCCAAGGCCCCACCTCCTCCCCACATCCTGCAACATAACAGGAAGTAGCTCTCAAAAGAATAGGAACTCAAGCACAGAGTGGAGAGTATAATACAACACACACATATAAAAAAAAACAGAAAAAGAAAGGGGGGCATGGCACAAGAGAGTGGGAGAGAATGAGTGAGTGAGCGAGGAGATTGATCAGATAGATGAGGTGAAAAAGAGGGGGATGATGAGCGGAGTCGGAAAGTGATGGCGCGGCTGGAAACAGCCACTCACACTCCCTCACTCTCACACACTCATGTCAACAGGCTCACACATGAAAGGTGAAAACAGCAAGTTAGATGGGTTTATGACGGCTGCTTAACCTCTGACCCCCAGCACATTCAAAACTCTTAAAAACTTTTACAACCATCACAGTTTCTCTGCATCATAACCATGCTTACGTTTTGAAAGAAGGTGGCGAGAGGGAGCCCGCTTGTAGGCGTAAGGTGGTCTGTCAGCCCCCAGCAGCAGAAGATGTGAGACATCCTCAGCTAAGTTTAACACTCTAACCCAAGCGGAAGGAAAAAGTCAGTCAGTAAACTCACTGTACAACTGACCAAGCCACAGTGTGGGCTGCACACAGTGATACACCACAGAAACCCACACCATCAATCTCTACACGTGACGGGTACAGAGGGCAAGAAAGTGGAACATTACAGATAAAAGTAAATATGAGCTATTATCAGCGCCACCCACTTGGATTAAAAGACTAACCCGATAAAGGAGTGACAATCTAACGTCGAGGAATGATGCTGCGGTTGCAGAACTAGGATTTATTCTCACTAGATTTTCAGATCTGAATGAGTCACTGGGTTGTGACAGTGAGCCAAACTGGCCACAGGGTGGCACTATTTGTTCGGCCCCTGAAGAGGGAGGCTGAAATCACTCCTCTCTGTTCCCTCTCCCTTGGTTGGAGTTCACTAATTCAAAAGCTAACAGCAGCAGAGTCCCCAAGTTTAACCTTATAAATACTTTATGTGGTGATTTACAACAAACCCATGTACTGCAGGACACACTGCTGCACTCCTGGTGCTCAGTCAGAAACAAGTTGGATCCCATCTTCAAGGGCTACATTTAGCCATGCAACACATAAATATAATAAACTGATAGTTCAATATTTATTTGCCTTGTCCATGTATTTCTTAAATGATCTTCACATTCGTTCATCCTTAAAGTACCTTTTTAAATGTTCCAGACTTATTTAAAGACGTCCTTATCATTTTAGAAGGGTGATCTTACATCTTAAGGTAACTATATTAGAATAATTTTTCAAGCCATATTTTTACATGCTTTGTATATAAAGAAACATAACATTTTTATTTTAGACCCTACCATGACATCACACTGAACCTGTTCTGTTTTAGGTCAGTCAGGCTGTGCTAGAATGATTCCTATTCTATTTTAAATGTAAGGCAACAATTTCTTGTGTGAAATTATGGGAAAGAGGTGCATCAAGCTAACAGGAAGAGAATTGTTAACCCATTCAAGTCTGGTTCAGAGATTCCTGAAGATCAGTGGTTAATCTGCTCTAACAATTTTACAGAAGTAGAGGCACCATGGGACTGTCTAAATAGCTAATCTTTTGAAAAAATTGGGTTCTCTGTCTCAGACAGATCATTTATTTGTAGTGAGAAATGATAATTTAATTTAACTAAAAGCAAAAAATAAAATGTGTCATAATTTTTATATGCTTTTAAGGAATTGCAGGAAATGTGAAATAATATTATGTTTTTCTTATTATAAGCAAGGAATACAATTAGCAAAGGTTGAGGCTTTATTGTTTAACAAAAATGTCTATTTTCAGGAACAAAAGCATGCTGTGTTTCACAAAGTTGATGGATACATCAACGTCTGGTTATTTAAAGAGGAGCTGGTTTTGGTACAAAATGCTACACTGAAAAAAATAAAATCTAAGTACCGGTAAGTCAATTTTTCTAAAAATATTTTTTTTTCCTAGAATTGATCAGGTAAATGAGACTCTCTACCAATGGAATACGAAAAATGACATTTAATATAAGAAAAAAAAACAATGGCAGTATCTTATTTCAAGTGAATAATATCTAACCATCTTATTTTGAGGGTAAATATACTTATTAATTTGCCAGGTGTTATTTACAGACTCAAATTAAGGGTAAATACACTTATCTTAACACATTTGACTCACTTGTAGATAGTTTTTGCCGTGTATGTAATCAATTTTAAGAACAGCAAACATGATTAGTCAAAGACGAATGCTTTGCATTGTTCACAACGCTAAAACCAAAAATTGTTTAGAAAGTATCCAAGTATCTATCACAAAATCAATCCAAGGGCCACAATTAACAGTCAGGCAGCATGTTGGACACGCCCGATTTAAGCAGTAAAATTATAATTGACATGCATGGTCTACAGAATCATAGTTTAAAAGCACCCGGCCAGGCCATTCCGGGGAGGGTGACAGAAGGCGGCTTGTTAAGGGGGGGTTAGGGCCGTTCTTGGGTCAGGGGTCACCAAGTCAGCCTGGCTTTGACCCTGACCTTCACTCAAACCAAAATCTGCCAACATAACAGTGTTGCAGTGTCCGTAATGACCGCAAAGGTGTTTGACAAAAATATGAAAATGAGTAAATCTGTGATTGTTAAATCACTTCAATATAATTAGACTGAAAGGTAAAATCCATACAACTTAGAGCACACAGAGATTCTCTCAAATAATTACATTTAGCACATCACTTAGTCTAGTCCTCAACTCATGAAAACTGACTGGATATTTCAAAGCACCAGCTGTTCAAGGCGAGAATTTGGTCACTACTAAAAGTTGGGACTAAAACAGCAAATGCAAGAATGCAATCTGATTGTTCGACTCCAGGGAGGAGGATGGGAGGAGGCTGAAGCCTCTGGAGTGCCATCAATCACTCCAGTGTCAAAGAATGAGGGAGAGGCAAGGAGGGAGTGTATTGGATGCTACGGAAAGAGGAAGAGCGAAACAGTGAGGAAAGAAGAGAAGAGAATGAAGGAGATGTAAAGGTGACAGAGATGAAGGTGAGAAGCGGATGAATAAAGAGATTGGAGGAAGGATGTCAGCTGGGAGGAGAATGTTTGTATAATAGGTCAGGGTGGGGACGTTTTAAAGGTCTCTGACCGCTTCAGAATAGCTCCATGGCAAGGTCCTCCTATATCTACCTCAGCCTCGGGCCTACAGCACACCCTGGCTTTAATTCATATAATCCATCACGCTCCTCTCCCTATAGATGGGGACTGAACAGGGCACAGAGATGGACCCACCGAGTCCAAACAGTATGACTTGATTATACAAGAGGAGAGATTAAAAATCCACTCTGACGTAAAAGTGCGTTTCTGCGTAGGAGCTGCAGGATTAAAGCAGTAGCTCTAACAGTGTGCGGCCCGCAGAGGTTGAGGTTGCCTATGAGAAGCAGCAGGGGCTAAAGCACACTAACACTGCTGGTTGCTTTGGGACCAGCACCATTTCAACCACACCTTCACAACAGCTCTTCCTCTCTTGTCCTAATATTTCTGGATTGCTTCTCTTCCTTTATGCCCTCTTCCCCTCCATCCTTCTTTCACACTGTGCCCCTCCTCTCTGTATCATCTCAGCAGCCCGTTGGGAGCCAGGTTTGTCTAGACAGACAGAGCTCTCTCCCACGGCGCAACCAAGGTTGAAGCTCAAATCTTTATCTCTGCTCGTCTAACCCTGGCCTCTTCTTTGGTCACAGGAGGGAAGGGACGGAGAAAAAAGGAACACCAAGGCCACTAAACTGTGGCCACTCACTGCGGTGAGTAACAATTGATGCATTAAAATATATGCAGATGGGCATCAGGTTGCTGAGGCTGCAGACACTTCCCCCTCTTGTGGTAGCAGAAGGAAATGACAATGTGGCAATGTGTTTGCACACTCAGAAATTCTTTTAAAAATTAGACTCTAATTCAGAACAGTTGTCTAACTACTGTAACTAAATAAGAAAAAATAAAACCTCCAAAACAAATCTCAGTATTTTCTAGTTTTCATAAAATTCAGCGTGTCTTTGCAGCATAGATAGGTGTTATAAGTTAGACAGGCAGTCTATACTTGCTGCCTATATTTTCTATGCTAAAAGTTTTAAACTTTTACTTTAATGTCACATGAAATCGATTTTTTTTCCCTGAAAAGTCAGAGTTTATCACTAATTGAAACCTCAAAATCCAATATGGCTTCCATACTCAGGCATCATCATAAAAGAGACACTAAAAAGCTGTTTAAATAACATTCTGTAACGTTGTTTATCAGAAAATGTGGACACTATGGAACAATCCTGATCAACACCGTTGGAGCAAATTTCAGAAATGATATTGCAAGGATCTTTTATTTATTTTACTATGCAGCCCAAAGTTAAAGAACAGAAACTCTGCTACTGACCTACTTACAGGAAACATTTAAGTTAGACTGAATCGGTTCTACTGAAAATTTGCTCAAATTCTTAGCTAGAATATTACCTTCCTGTTTCCCTACAGATGGGAGCACTTAGAGAGAAATCAACCGGTGACCGAAAACAGACAATTTTAAGCTTGACTGGTTCTGGCTTTGTAAGCAGCCAGATGATAACTTAAAAATGCTAACTTTCTTCAATCAGTGAACTGCAGTTAACCGCTTCTACGTCTCTCTAACAGCATTAACAGCACAGAGACTGAGTTAGGGAAACTTTTGAAATCAAAGCCATATTTTCTAAATCAAAGCATCTAAAGTTTTCCGTCTGTGAGGGGGTGAGAGAGAGCAACACTTTAGGCGATAATGGGAAAGCGGAAAGCTAAACAGTGAGGATTCAAGTTGTCTTGTTTATTTAAACCTTTTTAAGAATTGTCCAGAATTAGAAAATTGGAAATAAAAAAAAAAAAAAAAAGTTTGTCTGTTTTAGAATATTATTAAAATCCTGCTTTACAGCGACTCATCTCTAATACAGCGACATGACATTGCCTCTGTTAGAATAAATAAATAACAGCTTAGTTCAAGAAGGTTAAATAAATATGTATTCTTTTTGACTTCCTAGTAATAGTCCCTGAAATAAAAACAGAGTCGGCTTCAGTTGGTTCTGAAAGGTCAAAGCCTGAGAGACTTGAGCAAAGAGTTCTGATCAGTGCATCTCTGAATACATCAGCTGAGGTCATCTTGAACCTGCTCTGCTTCCTTAGCTTTCAACCTGCTCTTCATCATCCTCGTCCTCCTCCTGCTCTCCTCTTCTTTCTACTTGGTTCAAACTTTCTCCTCTGCTCCTCTGCCTCTCTTTCTCCCTCAGACCTGCTGGTCAGCAGCAGCTGTGACATCACCGGCCACTGCTCTCCGCTTGGATTGGACACTCGGCCACGTTGCCAGGCAACAGCAGCAAAAGGTCTCGGTGAGAGCGTGCTTGTGTGTGTGTGTGTGTTTATGTCTGTTTGTAGCTCAGAGAGTGAAAGGTGTGTGAGCGATTTTCCTCGCCTTGCCCTTTATCTGTGCATGAAGAATGATCAGAACAGATATACCTCCATGCTTTATCACAGATCAAAGCATGTAGATGATTGGGCTGCCTCGCCGCCGTCCTTCTCCAACATAGAAGAAGAAGGGGGATACGTGAGCGTTAATAAAGAAGAAAGATGGCACAAGTGTGCACGCGCATCAGTGTCCAACTAAATGAATGTGCATGTTGGTGTTGGAAATGGGTATATGTCTGTATGTTGTGTGTATGTGTGTGTGTGTGTGTGTGTGTGTGTGTGTAAGCCCCCGGGAGCGGGTGGTTATTGTATCTGACACAGCGGCTCTTTCTCGCGCCTCATATTTCTGGGCCGATCGATTCCTCTGACTCCCGACAAGACAATAATCGCACCTCCCTCTCTCACTCCATCACAACCATTATTACTGACCTCCCCAGGGAATGAAAAAGGGTGGAGGAAGGGAGAGATGAGGAAGGAAGGAAGGATGGATAGAAGGAAGGGAAAGAGATTGAGGAGTGATGGAGGGGGATGCGAAGTTGACAAAATGAGAGTAAGATGATGAAAAAGCAAAAAGAAAAAAAAGTAAAAAACTGAGAAAGGACGGAGTGAGACAGCAGGAGCCGGCCTTGGACGATGCTGAAAGGAGAGTCGCTTGGAAGTTAAGATAAGGTGATGAAGGGATGAGCACTAAGGGAAAAATACAAGTGGAAAGATGAGGTTTGATAAAGTAGAAGAAAGAATTAGAAAAAAAGATGAGGGATGTGGAATATGTCCTTAGTGCTGAAAAAATCCACAGTAAGGACAATAACAGTGAGAATGAGTGGTGAAAGAGATGAAGGATTCACGCTATCTCCTTCTAATAAAGGCAGAGAATCGGAGACAGGGACAGAGGGAGGGAGACAAAGCAAAAAAAAGGTGGCTGTGGGGGGGTTAGACTGAGGTGAAAGAGGTAGAGACAGAGAAATATATAGGATCACTCAAAAACAGATATACACACACATAAAGAGTGATGGCTGTGGAGAGCTGTGGAGGTCAGCGCTCAGAAATATTATTAAATTGACAAGAGCACAATAGTTGATTGGCAGGCTGACTCCTGCACCGCCATTCAGTGGAGAAGAATGGAGACGCTCCTGCACATGTGGATCTGCAGTTTTTCACAAGAATCAACACAGCATGCAGACACACACACACACACACACACCAGCTTTTGTCAGTGAAGTGCATGTTTGTGTGTGTCTGCTTTGAATTCAGATTACAATTACTGTAATTGGCTCTCAATTTAGCAGTCGCCATTTGACCCCATAACCTTTGAAGGGCCTTCGTCACACATTTTCTCCTCACCTCTTCCTTCTTGCTTCTGTTTGCATCGTTCTCCCCTAGATAAATCGCCTCCCATCCTCAAACTAATATATTTTCCATCTAATACCATCATTTCTGCCTATTTTTTTGCAAGATAGGACTCTATTCATGTTACATTTATAGTGAGAAATATCTGTCCAATTATACAGTCAGATGGAGGTATTGTGCAAGGAGGTGAAAGAGTGATAGATAAGAAAAATAAGAAGCTGAGGAAGGAGGTGATATAGGTAGTGGTGAAGCAAACTAGAGGGGGGGGAGGAAATTGGTCTGGCTAGCGGAACAGCTTTTCACCTCTCTCTCCCTCTCTTTTCTCTCCCTCCCTCTCCTCCTCTCTCCCTCCCTCTATTCTGCTTTGTATTCTGCAGAGATGACAGGGGGAAAGCTTTATTGCTCCGAGTTTGTATCGATCGGGGCCCCTCTGAGGGGGTAGGCCGGGGGACGCGCCGAGCAGGCCCTTTCTCAATGACCGAGTCTCCCCCACTCTTTTCTATGTTTCCTCCTGACTCCAAACCCTTCTGCCCGCTCGCTCTGAAATTCAAATTCAAGGTTCGAGAGCTCAAGAAAAAGAGAATGGATAAAAAAAGGAGAGATGGAGGCGTCTGGCTTTCTCCCCCTGACTGAGGCCTTGAATGAAGCTGGGATCTGATAAGGAGAGCCCACAAACAAACAGAGGGAAGAAATGGGAAGAATAAAGGTGCAAAGAGGAATAAATCAGCTCCTGTACATCTTTGCTCACCCTCTTTCAGTAACTTCCCTCCTCCCAAATGTATCTCCACATTTTGGGTGTGTGTGTGTGTTGGGTGAGAAGGAATTTGTTGACAGGTGAAGAATGAACCAGGCCCAAGCATGCATAAAGCTCCCTGTTCCTGTCCTCGTTAGAGGGACAGCAGGGGAGACTGTATCCACTGAGCGACAGGAAAAAAAGCCCCTGAGGATCATGCTCTGTAGCATGCTGAACTACTTCAATGAGTGCAACAAAAAGCAAACGCATCTGGCGCAGACGTACAAATCGCACATTTCTACAAACAAGTGCCAAAAAGAGGGGAGAATTCAAACAACAAATTGCCACTCCTCACTTGCCGCTCATACAGGCTTTTGTGTTGAAGAGGAGTTTAGGACATTTAAAGCCAGGGTCACTTGATCAAATACTTAACTCTGGTGGATGAGGGGGATATTTATCCACTGATCGAGATGCACAGCTTTGCAGCAGGGCTGGAGACTGAAACAGACTGTCTGTCAGGAGGGTTACAGGGTTCAAGTCTATGACCACAGGGCTTGATGGGGGTCAGGGGTTGTAGGTTCAACCCCCAAAGGGCAAGGATGATCCCAATCGACTCTCGTCCAAATATCCCTCTCCCACTTAGTCTGATCCCACATGTAAACCTGAAGCTGGACCACAGATGCTCTCTTTTAGCAAACAAATACACACGCCCATTACTCAGTGCAAACATATTCGTAAAGCTCCGTCATGTTCTTACTATTTAAAAACAAATGATTCTCTTCCTGTTTTCCTCATTTTTTTTTTTTACATAGTACAACAGATCTCATAACTCCCAGCTCCAATCATGTTTGAAACAATCTCCACCTTTTCCCAAATCCATCTCACTTACTCCAGTAACATGTCAGGGCCTTGGATATCAGCCGCAGCATATGTGAGTCAATGTGACAAATTCCTGTAAACAGTGGGTACATACACTATAAATATATATTGTCATTGATATTGCCTGTGTGGTTTAGCACAGCTCCAGATTGAGTTCAGTGATAGAGTATACTTCAGAGACTTGGTCTGGATACTACACGTTTGATTTGTAGAAAGATAGACACATATGTGTGCCGCTGCACACACTCACACACACGCACGCACACCGATAGTACAATAACCTGCAGGCCCATAACCTGCCTTGTTGGCTGGATGGGTAAATGCATTATTAAACACATAGGATTTCATATGTAGAGAGAGAAAATGAATGCTGCACTGCTGAGGGTATGCACTTGTTCCCTTCAGTTTTTGCTATTCTGAACAGGTTTTATCCACTGCTCTTATGTTTTGCATGTTAGGGCATTTAATTTAGATTTTAATATTAATATTTTTATACAAATTTGTTTTATATTATTCCTTTATCTGCAGCACAGGCTTTTAGCTGTTCTTTTTAAAAACAATTTTTAATGTTCGAGGATAATTTGGGGTTTGAGTTAAAGCTGCATGAATAAATCCTATTTTACATTGAGACCTAAAAACTGAATATTTGGCAAATATTTCACCTTAACTGATTAGCAGGGCAGAATATGATGGTCCCACTTGACAGGTTGTCTTGTTACAATGTGATGTTCTGCTGGGAGACAAGAGGACCTGGCACTCATGTGGATGTTACATTGACACATGCTGCCCACCTAAACATAGCAGAGCAACATAACCTGCAGACCACTCGATGACAGCGTCCACACCCCTTTACCCTTCAGCAGGTCAAGTTGAACTAGATGAGCAGCAACCTTCCAGAAATGGCTCAGCAGAGACATTGACTGGCCTATGTTTACTAACATAGACTTTGCTTAATGCACGTCTGAACCATGGAACCACGACATACAAAACCAGAAGCCTATTTTCTGCTTAGATTAGTTCACTCTGGACAGTGAAAGAAATGCTAAATGGCTTGTTTTAGTGCAATCATGTGCAGGAAGAAAATATTTGCAATCACATGTCAAATAACCAATTCAGTATGTGGATGGGACTATAGGTTTTTACTGAATAAACTGTTTTACGTGAAATACACCCAGTACAATCTGAGTTGATTTGAGACTGGATACTTTACAGAATGTAATTTGTTGGTTATTTGTTATTGGTTGAGATATTATATATATATATATATATATATATATATATATATATATATGCATGTGTTTTTTTTTATTAGAGTTAGGGGCAGTTTCCAGCAAAAAAGCTTTTTCTTCTCATCTTTAAATTAAAAGAACAATCAATGCAAAGGGTGGAGCTTCAGTAAAAGTTCTATCGCTTATATTGATAATAAAAAAAAAAAGAAAAACTCCATCAAAAGAGTAAATTTAATTATTTTTTTTTTTTTAGAAAGGGAGCTAAAGGTAGCTATGTCTGGGTAAAATATTAATATTTCAATCAGACAAAGTTGCTGTCTATATTGCATTTACTCAGTTACATTTACTTAATTAACTCAATCATTTTCTAAAAACCAAATCTTTAAAAACTAATTTTACTACACATTTTAGTGTTACTTAAGAAATTTCATTATTAAGAACTAATTTTCTTGATTAAAACTTTTGTCAATTCTATCCTTTGCGAGTAACTTTAGTGGATAAAGAACAATCTTCTTTTAAATCAAAAATGCACCAGATACAGAGAGTGAAATACATGTATATGATGTTTTGTTGTTACGTTCTTTTAGCAGATTGTGCCCCTGTATGTCTTGGCCGACCCGTGTTGCTGCACACCTGAGAACATTTTTAAATCCAGATAGCTAGCATGTATATCTCTTTGCCGGATGATTACACCTGATGATATTCCAGCCATATTCTTAAACCAGGAATATCTT